TAGACATGTTGTGACTTTTATTATCATTGAGTAGAATATCATCTTCCTTTCTGAATACATCTGTGCCCTAATTTGTTGGTTAAGAGAATAGACCCAAGTACAGACTTCCTGAGTTCAGATTCACCCATGACGCATTTCTAAGATACGGGATGTTGGTAGTTGGTTTAACCTTCCTGAGGCCCTAATTTCCTCTGAGTAGAAGATAATAACAACAGTACTCACCTCAAAGAGTTGCTATGAAAATGAAACATAAGAAAGGAATCCTAGAATTTAGTGGAAAGTTCTGTTCCCTCTGAATTTTAATTCTCCTTAACTTGTCAAAGGCTAATAATCTGCACAGAGCAGTTAGCTGTGACGTTCAAGGAGATCAGATGAGAGGATGATGGAAAGAAAGAGAAAGTCATGTGCATGCTATACTCACATTTACACAAGAGTTACTTCATTAAAAATGTGTCTTCTTTATAAATGGTGTTTGTACTGAAATCTTAGAGTAATAACCTTTATAAGGAAGATAGCCCAGTGTGTCTCCTTTTACATGTCTTGCTGCCTTCCAACTAAAACAAGACATTCATTAGTTTCTAGATTAGAGCTTTTTTTTTGTCTGTGTGCAAGTAGAACAAATTCTACCCAGCATGTTTAAGAAATTTCTCTTAGTTCACAGTTCTCCAGACTGAAGTCACAGGGAAGAAATTGTATATCTATAACACTTTCAGATTAAAAACTGTCATTGGAGAACTGAAAATGTAAAAGTATGCTATTTATTATAAAAGATAAAATTATTGCCCGGACAATAGTGGAGCATGCCTTTAATCCTAATATTCAGGAGGCAGAGGTAGAAGGATCAATGAGTTTGAGGTCAGCCAGTCTGGTCTACAAAGTGAGTTTCAGGATAACCAGGGCTACACTGAGAAACCTGTCTTGAAACAACAACAACAACAACAACCAAAACACAAAAAAGAAAGTAAAAATAAAATTATCAAACAAAAAGTCATGATGTGAGTTAAGCCAACCACGGTCCAAAATTCTGTAGATTTTAAAGGAGCTGTAGAAAAATTGTGTGATGCTCTGTTGAAAGGGCTTGGAGAAGGAAGCAGGACTTTCCCCCCTTCTAATAAAACATAATGTTCTGCCGAGAGGTGACCGCATTCACAGTTTAAAAGTAACGATGCCTCGCTTGAAGACGAGGGTCAGATTATTAGCCGGATAGTTAAGATGTGAAGTGTGAGCAGCGGTGTAAGGGCAGTGAGTGAGTGGCGAAGCACACGGTGTCCCCACTGCCTCCCCAGACAGGACTCTTTCCTGTCTTCAGTTCTCGCACATGTCTCTGTGGTGGCATCTACTACGCCTGCGCCACTGTCTGGACTCAGTAGCCATTGATTTCTTACAATGGAATGTGACAGCTTAGCTCATGGAGGGATGCATACTTTATCCCCTCTGCTTCCTTTCTTTTGGTGGGGTGGTTTTTAGTGTTTTTGTTGTTGTGGCGGGGTGGGGGTGGGTGGCGAGGGGTAAGAGGATCTCACTGTGTAGTCCTAGCTGGCCTGGTACTTACTATGTTGACCAGGTTGGACTCAAGAACATAACTTTCATTTGTCTGTTGTTCTTAGATACCATGTAATATTCTTAGCACCTGTGGTGCTTGGCTCAGTCGTCTTACTGATTTCCAAACCTTTCTTTCCAATTTGTTCCTGAATTCATGCCAACCACGTCCTTATTTATTTATTAAACAAGTTTAATGTGTGAGTATACTTGTGGCGTATCTGTCTGTGTGCCCGTGTGTAAAGGCCAGAGGAGGATGTCGAGTGCCCTGCTCTATCACTGTCCCCTTCGGTCTGTTGAGGCAGTGTCTCTCACTGAATGTAGAACTAGACTGGCGGCTGGCAAGCCCCCTGGATCGCCCATCTGGGCCTGCATCAGTGCCTGGGGGCGCAGGCACGTGGGTGGTTCTACCCAGCGTTTTATGGAGATTTGAACTCAGTTTCCCCTCCGTGCACACCGAGAGCTCTTACCCACTGAGGAGCCCTCTCCCCGGCTCGGTGCTGTGACTTTTACACTGTGAAGACTTAGAACACTAACTCCCTCTTCTGGAACTGGCCAATTCCGTAGTCTTCCCTGATTTGGGTGATAGAATGATTCTAAATATAGAAAAACAACGATGTTCACAGTACTAACATTTTTTGATACCTTGGGGGACAATCTGTTGATCATCTTGCTTCGGAGGATGGAAGTGACCGACCCTGGGGCCTCTGCCGTTAGCCTCTTCACCACGTTATTCGTGCCGTCTCTCCGTAAATGGACTCGTTTACGTCCGACAGTCCTGGTTTTTACTTGAAGACACAGAGTACCTTTAACCACTCACTGGGCACCCTGCAAAGGCTCAGAGGGCTTGTGAAGCCATCCCAGGATTTGGTTTAGGGGCTGGACTGGATCCCACAGAGCTGTTGTAAGGGGCCGTTGATGGGGACGGGTTGAGGCAATTGAGTTTGGCTGGACTGTCATTTTAAGCTGATAGAATTTAGAATGTTTGAGTCCCCTCCTCCCCACATCCCTGTGTCCGATTTTCCTATGCATTTTCTTCCAAGCTTTTACTTGCCCAGAATGTTCTGCATACTTAGGTTTGGGTTGCAACTTTGTCACGTGAGGGACTAAATGAGACTTCGTCACGTGCAGGACTGAATGACAAGATTCATGCAGTTAAATTATGTTTTCCTAAAGCTTTAATTGTATGAGTGGTGAGAGAGTGCACGTCTCAACTCCCTCTACTCTTAAGGGGTCACATACACAGAAAGCCACAGCCTAGGGTTTGTACCCACAAAGCCATTGGCAGAATGAATTCCCACAACGTATGTATGTGTACTGTGTGCATGCTTGACTCCTGTGGAAGCCAGAAGAGCCTGTCTGACCCCCTGGGATAGTTGTGAGCTGCCATGTGGGTGCTGGGAGCCGAACACAGGTCCTCTTTCCAGAACAGCGAGTACACAGCTGCTGAGCTCTTCTCTCCTGTCTCACCGATACATTTCTAATACAATTTGGTTTCTTTCTGAGGAAGCTGAGTAGGTGAGATGACTCCATCTGGATGGTAATGGTGCTTTGTGCTTTTATTCTCCTTCTTACTTGCAGGACCTGGATGTTCATTATTTTATGGATATGCCTGCATGCATGCCCGCATGCACACACACACACACACACACACACACACACACATACACACACTGGAGGCAAGGCAAACGTTGTATGATTACAATGTGTGCTGAAATAAATGAAGACCAGAGAGGCCATGAAATCATGCCTCTGGAGTCTAGACACCCATACTTCATGTTGCTAGGTATGAAGTTCAAGGTTCTGTTCTGTCAGCTCACTGCTCCCCTCTGGCCCTGACATCAGGCAGTCTGGAGTGCATATGGCATGCTGTAGATTGTTCCAGAATTTCTAGAATTATAGAAAAGGTAAAGGATAGGCACGGACTCTACCTGAGTCCCCTGCCCTGCAAGAGGTAGAGAAGGTGGTAGAGTTCACGCAGGAGGGCTTTGCATCTAGATTTTGGGTGTATCCCAGCTGAGAAATATGGTTTAGCCATGCAGTTGTGTTGAAGATTTATCCTTGAGGGACTGTGGTATTTATACTAGAAAGCCTCGGAATGTCTTCTGTTTTGTGAAACTGACTGTAAAACATGTGATCCTTTTAAAGAAACAATACTCTTTAACCTTTGAGAATTTCATATTATGTGTTTTTATCACACCTACCCTTACTACCTCCCTCCACCTCCTCCCAGACCCCCCCCCCCACATGTCTCTGCTCCAACTCATTCATTTCCTCTTCTTCCTTTTAGTTAATAACCTACTGAGTCCAATTACTGCTGCCCATGTGGGCATGGATGAGGGGCTATGGCTTCCTTCCCCACAGCCATCAACTTCCGAAAGTCCCTCCGCTAGGGGTGGGAAGTCCCATGACCCCTTCCCCAACTGTTCTGCAGTTTTGACTGGCTTGGGCTTGAGTGGATAGCCAGAGCTGCTGTGAGTCCCAGAGTGCCTCAACCATGCCAGGTCCAGAGGACAGCAGCTCACTGCTCTCCTCCGGTCTTCTGGCTCTCATATTCTTTCTGTCCCCTCTCCCGTGATGTCCCCTGAGCCTTGGGTCAGGGGTTGGTATAGCGGTCCCATTCAGGTCTGAGCTCTCAACCCATGATCTTCATAGTTGGCTATTGCCAGCAACTGGCGTGGATGTTTAGCCTCGGAGGAGGCACTCAGGGGAGGGCCAGCTTCTTCTCAGTCTGTGTTCCATCTTGCCTTTCTGATACAGGGGTAGCCACACCTTCACCCAGTTGCCCTCGGGAACTGTTAAAGACGAAGCCCCTGGATTCCGAATGGAGACTTTGCTCCAGGACATGTGACAAGCTCTCTGTAAACAGTGAACTCAGAGTGACACTGCTTTTATTTTCCAGTGATTTCTGGTATTGGCTGTTTCTAAGTTTTTGCTAAAGAAATATTTATATGCTTTGGCCCCCTTTTTTCCTGACTGATGGTAGAGTTAGAATTCCTGTAATTTTTGTGAAAGGAAGAATGTGGTAACATTTTAGAGGTAAGCTGGGCCAGAGGGGGAAAAGATGTAGTTTCTGAGAGTAGACATTTACAACTTTGCCTGTAACAGATTTTAATGTGATCTTTCATACCCAGGTTTGTAGGAAGTTGGTTTAAATTGGACCTGTTTACGTAGCTCCATGGGCTTTCACATCCGTGCACTGAAGTGGCGGGCCCTCTCTCTGGCATCTCTGGGTTTTCGTGGCCTGCTGTACTGTGCATATGCTGGTATTAAGGGCTTCCTACCATATCATTATGTTAAAATGTTCCAAATGCCCTCAAGTACTCAACTTGATTGGGCTGCCAAATTTTACTGCTTTCTGTTTGCTGGGATTCACTCTGCTTAATAACTTGGGTGTTCCTTTTCTCTTGTTTGGTTACATCTTATTTTTCAAAGTATGGAATTCTGTGTTTTTGTTTCAGACCCAATGTCTGTGGATCACGTTATAACGCGTACTGTTGTCCTGGATGGAAAACCTTACCGGGTGGAAATCAGTGTATTGTCCGTAAGTAAACAGATAACCTGCCATTCCCATGTTAGTGTGGCGTTAGTTGCATGGTGATACTTGCTGCCGAATACTCTTGATGTGTTTCTAGCCCAGCTGCCTGCAGCTAAGAGTTTCCTACATTTTCTGGATCCCCTTTGGGAAACACAATAGCTTTCCAAAGCATTGCCCTCTTTAATCAGTGATTTCCTTTCGAACATTTCTAAATCTACAGAATGGAGCCGTGGGGACGCTGTGATTAAAGTTGTGTGCTGTTTGCACATGCTGCTCCTGGCTGCATAGATTAGTGTAATCATGCTAATGGGATTTTGAACAAAAGCTCCTCATTGCTGACTTCCTCACTGTAATCCCTCCCTGTTTGGCTGTAATATGCCCAGGCCTCCCCAAACCATGTCTATTAAATTTGAGGGCAAAAGCAGGTCTAGCTCTTAGCAAAGAGCAAAGGCAGGGACTTATTTTAATGATCTGAAGTTGAGTCCCAGCTGGCTGTGACGTTACGCACCATAATCCCAGAACTCCAGAGGCTGAGACAGGAGGATTGAGAACTTGAGGTCAGCCTGGAGACCATGTCTTTTAAAACAAAGGCAGGCATGGTGGTATACACTTTAATCCTAACACTCGGGAGGCAAAGAAGTTTGGATCTCTGTAAATTTGAAGTTAGCTTGGTCTATATAGCAAGTTCCAGGCCAGTCAGAGCTATACATAGAGACCTTGTTTAAACACACATACACACACACACACACACACACACACACACACACACACACTAAAATAAAATAAATAAACAAACATTTACTAAGGGGAGGATGATGGAATATGGAATTCTCTAAAGGAACTGACAGATGAATCCTTTCCCCTAGTTCTTTGGAATTCCCTGTAGAATGTTTTCATTAGGCATCAAAATAAACATTGCTGTGATTCTGTGATGATAGTCCATCTAATAACAGCTTGCCATATCTACGAAATCTCTTTCCATGTTTCAATGCACATTCCACCCTGTATATTATTTTAGCCTTTTACATCACATTTGCATCTTACAGGACACTTGAGTTTGGACAAAGGTGCATACTGTCCCAGTAAGTCTAAGAAGTAGTGACAGAGCCTTAGGCTGCTGATAACTCTAAGTCATCTGTCAGTTAATTGGCTTTTCGGACACTAGCAGAGCATTTGACTCTGGGTGACATGGATGTAAATGTTTCCCTGACTGTATAATCAGCACTAAGTGGTGGATTCCGGATTCTCCCCTCAAGGCTGTCAGTATAATTCAGAAGAGAGTAACAATGAAATGTTTACAATAAAATCATCTGCCAAGAACACTGTTATAAGGTTTCCATTATTAAATTATAAATTAATATAAGAGTAGAGTTCTTATGAGAATATAAACATGTTAGGCTACAAGGTTTTTATTTGTTTTGTTTTCCCTTCATTAGCCTGTCCAGGGATTTTGAGCTATTGGGTCCTGTTGAATGAGCAGAAAGGCAGAGCGCTACCAATATCGATAAGGGAGTTACTGATTTCAAACCAGGGTTTCTTTACTCCATTAGATTTGAATGAATGAATACCCAAGGGCCAGTGGTCCAGGCCCCTCATCTGAGCACTGAGTTCCTGTGCCTAGCTGTGTGCTGAGGAACTCGTGTGCTGATAGACTTCTGATTTCATTTGCAGCCATTTGCCGGCATTCCTGTGGGGATGGATTCTGTTCGAGGCCAAATATGTGCACTTGCCCGTCCGGTCAGATATCGCCTTCCTGTGGCTCCAGATCCAGTGAGTCTAACATGTCATTAGAGACGATATTATTTTATGTGGTTATGCCCTATTTTCTCCTAAATTTGCTTTTAGGTTTTTTCTTTCCCTGCAATACATTTTTTCCCCCCTGCTAGAACATCTGCCTTCTCTACTCTGCCCAGAATTCTTGGAAAGACGCTACTGGATCTAGCCTCACACTTCCCTCCTTCACTCTGTACAGGAAAATTGCCTCTGGGGTGTAGGAAGGGCATAAACATGATGGCCTTCTATGTCAGTACAGCCACGTTCATCTCTGTATCTCTAATGGAAATGCTGGGGGAGGAAGCCAGTCACTGAAATGATCATATAATGAACATTTTTGGCTCCAGGAAACTAGCCATTTTTTTTTTGTGCTACTGAAATATGAAACTGATCTGATGAAAAACTTATTTGAAACTCAAGAGACTTGCCTCTCCATGAGGAAAACATGAGAGACAGTGACATACAGACATGACATAAGACATGGCATTTATTCTGTCTGGCCACATAAACATACTCAGTTGACGCTAGAGAGCCATTGCCTTCTGGTTTCATTGTTTCTTTTATTTTAAGTGTGGTATCCAAAGTATTGGAATGGGGAAATGTGGGGGCTGGGAGGCGAGTCCTTATTAGTTGTTTAAAAAGTTAAAGTTCATGTCTGTATAAACAGCCCTCGATATCCCAACTACTGCCAAGGCAAAGCAAATGTGTATTTCTATTTCATCCCAGTTTCTGGGGGAGAAAACGCACCCCCCTTACTGCCAGTCCACATTTGAGGACATTTTCAGGATCACTGGGGTGGAGTGAGTGTGTTCTCTTCTGTCTGGTGTACGTGGAGACTACAGTGTGTCAAGATTCCCTCTCTGCTTAGAGGCCTCATCTGGAGTTAGGGCTTTTATTAGCCCATTAGCTGGCTCAGATGGATTGTCTGGCACAGTGGACCATCTTGGTGCCCACACACCTCCCTTGGCACTCACAGGGGAGCACATGAAATTGGCCTGAAAGCTTGGTCAACATTTTTCTCTCCAGGGATGATGGTCCAGAGCAGAGGAAGTGAAAAGGGCGTCGGGGTCAGTGGACGCAGAATCAACTTTCAATCAGTGAGAGATAGGTGGAGAGGGTGTTGGACCAGCGCTCGGGCTTCTGTGCTCCCAGTTTGAATAGCTCTGAGATTTGTGATGTACTGTCTCCTCTAATTCCTGACCAGGACTTAGCCTCAGTCCACAGTGGTGCTTCCTGGAATCACTCCCAAGCAAACTACCTTTGTTGAAATTGTCTGCTTCTGCTGGAACCCAATCAAAGACGGATTAATACTAAATAAAGCTGTTTGGAGATCAGGGTAGCAATTTCCTCATGGGCTGGGTGTCTCACTCCACACACTGAGCATGGCACATTCCTACTTGATCTTAGCTTGGTTTTGCGTGTACAAGGAGAGTCTACCCATCAAGCGCACCCGAGCTGGAGGAACAGAAAGAGAGAGTGAAGTCAACTGGGAGTTTCAGGCACATACAGGACATCCCTACCTCTACCAGAAAGACCTCAGACTGCTGCCGAGGAGAGATAGCATCCGTGTTGGAAAGAGCATGATTATCAAGAGAGGAATAAAACCCTTCCCTTAGACTGGCCTCTTATCTGATTAGCACTTTAAGGGAAGAAAAATTACAACGGAGTGTCCAGATAGAAAGTTAATTCAATGATAATGTGAGTGCTCTTGACTTCTCTGTGAGTAAAAATCATGAGACATGGACAGGGTTTTAACGAGACCAGAGGTGGTATCTGTGTGGTCCCGGTATGTTTCCAGCTAGCCTTGAGGTTGGAAGGAGTAGAGCAGCAAGACCCTAGGCCAGGTTTAAGCTAGAGATTTGAGTCTGCTGAGCCCTGTGGATGATGATTTCTGGAAACTTCGGATCTGTCTGTGCTGCCCGAGCACTGGGCAAAGCCCGGGAGCTGTGTGTAGATATAGAAGAGGCTATCACTTCATCAAGATCTTTGAGGTATATAGAGTCTTAAAAATGATTGTCTTGGACCCTCAGAATTAACATTGTCTTAAGAGCTTGAAAAAAAAATTAAAGATGGCACTGTTTAAAAAATTAAGTGTAGCTGAGGTTGGTCAAAATTCCCTTCTGGCCTTTTGAAACCATGTTTAGTGGAATAGGTGGGCTGTGTTACAGAAGGTATGGTCAGCCTGTAATACTCATCAGTGTATACAGATCACATGATGACTGTCCTGCTAATGGGATACCATCAATCAGCGAGATGCTTTCATACAGCTGCCTGCTCTGCTAAGAGGGGTCAGTTTTCAGTGTGTCTAACTGTTTGATATTAGGCTAGAATGCTGTCATCTACAAATGTATTTGGTTGAATTAATAGCTACCCTGGGACACATATAGCCCGCAGGCTGCAGGTTGGATAGGTCTGTCTCCGAACACTGCATCACTGTAGCCTATGAAAAAATTCTACTTATTATGTGATGGCGTGATGGAGGGCCGGCAACTGTGGGCCTCTGAGATCTTATTGTCCTCATCTGAGTGAGGAAAGGGAGGAAGGAAGCTGTTCTGACAGGTGGTGCTGACAGAACGCCCTGTGGAACCCAAATGGAGAGGCAGCTCTCTACAGGTTTTGAACGACAGCCAGCAAAATTCTCACGGGATCGGAAAGGCTCCGCTCCCTCAGACTCAGCACCACTCTGGCCACTGGCCACTAAGGTACAGGAGCAAAAGAAAGATTAGCCAAAGTCAGAGCCATGTCTTTTTGGTTTGTTTCTGGATTTTAATTCCAGCTCTGTTTAGAACTCCTCTCCAGTTTCTGAGGCTAGGGCTGGGTCCTGAGCAGTTTTACTTCTTTTAAAGTCCTGTAATGTTTATTGACTGAGTTTACATCAACTCTTCTTAAATATGTATATACACATACATTTGCAAATATATATCAACTTGCAATGATAACTAGGATGAAGAAGTGTTTCAGGGGCTGGAGAGATGGCTCAGGGGTAAAGAGCACTCCTGCTCTTACAGAGGACCAGGTCCAGTTCTCAACATCCGTAATGGTAATTCACAACTACCTATAACTCCAGCTCCAGGGCATCTGACACCCTTTTCGGGCCTCCGTGGTGCAGACAAAATACCCACACACATAACAAATAAACAAGTAAACAAATGAACAAATAAATTCTTCAGAGGGCTGGCGAGATGGCCGTCTCCAGGGGTTCTGGCTGTTCTTGCATAGGACCCGAGTTCCTTTCCCAGCACTCTCACCAGGGATTCACAGCTGTCTGTCACTCCAGCTCCAGGAGGAACACGTTCTTCTTGTCTACTCAGACACTCACACAGATACACACACATACACATAAATAAAAATTTAGAAAATATTTTATCTTGAAAAAAAAAAAAAAGAAAAGAAAACTGCTTCAGGCTGCCACAACTAAATACCATGGAACTTCATTTTATGGCTTTAGAAACTGGGACTTGCAAGATCAGAATTGCCCTAGAAGATCTCATGTCTGATAAGGGCATATTTTTCCTTCGTTGTTGCCCTCTTTATGTGCTCATATGACAGTGGGGTAAACAGGCTCCTGGTCCTCTTTGGAAGGACCTGTCTCAGTTTTGTCTCCCACCGTTATAATAAAACTACCCTAGAGAAAGGATTTATCTGGCTCACATCTCAGGTTACAGTCTGTCATGGCAGGGGGTCAAAGTGACAGGAGCTTGAAGCCAATCGATCCTCACATCCCAGTCACAGTCAAAAGCAGAGAGCCATAATTTAATGCACGCATGCCTCTGCTTGCCTCGCTTTCTCCATCTCTGTACAGTCCTGGATCCTAGCAAGGGAATGGTGCCACCCACAGTGGACAGCTACTTACCCGATGAAGGACTTCTACACTTTTTCAAGGGCTAGGGTTTGGTGTGTGTGTGTGTGTGTGTGTGTGTGTGTGTGTGTGTGTGCGTGTGTGTGCACATGTGTGCACCCCAAATAAGCAGTTTCTGAGTTGTGTGACAGATTTAGCTTTTTAAGAACTGTCAAACTATTTTTGGACAATTGTACAGTTTTAATTTATTTTTTTGAGATTATAATGTAATTACATCATTTCCCTCTTTCCTTTCCTCCCTCCAAGTCCTCTCATAAACTTTTTCTTGCTCTCTTCCAAGTTCATGGCCTCATTTTTCATTAGTTGGTGTTATACACACACACACACACACACACACACACACACACACACATATATATTTCCCTAAGTACATACATAAAACCTGCCTAGTCAGGATAATGTTACTTGTGTGTATGTTTTTAGGACTGAGCATTTAGTACTGGGTAGCCAGCTGGTGTGAGTTGCACCATTTTACATTCTCCCCACCAAGTATGAATGATCTAGGTTCTGTGTCCTTCCCCGCTCTCAACATTGTTTCCCTACTGAGTTTCAGCTATTCTGATTAGTTTCAGGTTTGTGGTGATGTCTAGTTGGGGTTGTAATTTGCATTTCCCCGAAGGCTAACGGTGTTGAGGACCATTCCGTGTGTTTGTTTGCTGATCACCCTCTCATGCGTTCATTTGCCTCTTGTGTGTCTTTGCCGGCGATGCGCTTTCATTTGTTGTGTCTAGACTCCCTTACATTGCTTCTTTGTGACTGTTTTGAGAGCTGTATAGGCCCCTATCCCAGCGCGGTCTGTTGTATGATCTCTTTCCTCGCAAGTCATCCTCCAGAGTTGGCTTTCTTGTCATCGGTGGTGCATCAGCTCTTCCGCGAAGCAAGTTTTTAGAGCCAGTGAACTCTAATTTATCAGCCTCTCTTTTTCTCTTTCACGTTTTTGGTGTCCTGTCCAAGAATGCTCTGCCTAGTGCTAGATTGCAGAGATTCTCCTCTAACTCATTTCTACATGTTTATAGTTTTACATCTGTGTCTGTGATTGCAGTGGAGATACATTTTGCGTGAAGTGTGAGGCTGAGGTGAGATTCCGTTGTTACCGATGCATGTCCAGTTGCTCCAGCGAAATCCACAATTCTATCCTTTGGGCATTTGATTTTGCTGTGGCTTGCCTCTTAAATGTCTTATGAAGGCCAAGGAGAGTGATGAAACCTCCCTAAGGAGGGGTCTTGGGGTCCCTGGATGTCCTGAGAGGTGATTGTGACACTGCAGTCCTCTGTTTGCCTTCCTTTGCTCTCTTGCCCCAAGGGGCGTCCTCTCACCCCACCACACACTCTTGCCAGTGTGCTGCTTCTATGCAGACACAAAACAATGGGACCAAGACAGCAGAATGGAGTCTCCAAAGCTGTGAGCCCAAGTAACCCTTGTCCCACTACAGGTGGACTGAATCCAATGCTTGATATAGTGATAGAAATCTGACGAACGAAAATTAGTTGTGTGTTTTTGTCGACAGTCAACTGGGTATGTTTTTGTGGGTCTGGGCTCTCAGCTACCTTTACAGATCTATCCCTTCTGCACTGTCACAACCTTGATCCCTTCACCACGTGATAAAATAAGCTCACCTCTTACTTTCTTCTTCCTTTCCAGAAGTGTTTTGGCAGTTCTTTCCCTGTCCACAAAAAGTTTAGCTGGATCTGATCTATACCCCCACAACCTTTGCAGATCTTGATAGGAATGATACTAAATCTGCACATCAGTTTGAGGGGTGTTCCCATCTAGTAGAAGCTCTCTTTTGTCAAGTTTTGTCATTTTCTGTTTACTTCCGTTCCAGTTGAGTCCGGGGACACTTGTACTTCCAGGATAGGTTTGAGAACATAGGAAAACCAAGAGAGATGGAGAGGGTGGTGCAGCCATGTGCCAGAATGTGAGTGGGCTCAGAGGAAGACAGATTAGTGCTGTAGCTGCTCTGGAAGGCTTGACTCTGGGAAAAGCATGGTAGGGGTCTGTAAGGTTTCCACTGACAAGGATGAGTACCTAAAAGCTGCCCAGACTTACCCTTTGGGCTGGTGAATTGTTTTGCTGTCTGCTCAGACTTTCTGGAAACATCTTGTCACAGATGTCACTCAACTTGTTGTTTCCTGGACCCTTTCTAGCTCAGGTAACTTATTTTTCTGAGATGCTCTGGTCCTGTTCTAAGCTGTGTGATTATTTATGCACCTATGGGAATTATCGGTTCAAATGAGAACTCTTCTTGTCTTGTAGTGACTTGGGCCACCTTGGTAGATTGTTGTCTCAGGTGTAGATCCAGGGACTTGTCTGGTTATTTCATTTACTTGTTTGTGCTTTTCCCAATGATGAAATTAAAACACACATTCAGCCTACAGTTGCATATTTGGAATTTGCCCTGAGTGCTCTCTCTGCTGGCTGAGTCTGCCTAGACACGATGGTTGGTCTTCAGAGCCTAGTACATTCCAAAGGAACTCATTGCTGAGATGTTGAGAGCCAAATGTCAACCAGCATCTCTTCCTTTCTGTGGTGCATGAATGCCATTCCTTTCGAGTTAGTCATTTTAATGAGTTTGTACTGTGCTTTCTGAAGAGAGGCTTTTGTCCTCTTCTTGATACCTTGTCAATGGAAGATGATCAGTTGGTATTTGTTGAATGATCGAATGACTGACTGATTCTGCAATGGATGCAAATTTTATTTTGGGACCTTTTGTGGATACAGGTAAATGTTGACAGTTTCTGTTAGTTCTAGGATATAGAGCCTGGTGTGGAAAGGTCTGAGACCACCATCTCTAGTGGGGCTTTCTCACTGGGGATCTGACTGCCCAGGACAGCCTCAGCTTGCCCAAGAAAGCCCAGACTCTCCTAGTATTCCGTTTCCGGTAAAATCTCAACACAGGTTGAGTTTAGGCCTTTAGCACATCCAGCGAAGGATACTTGCTTCTATAAGTGCAAGCAGATCTCCGCTTTCCAGTTGTGCATATTTTCTTTTCATCACACAAGCTGTTGTCTGCTAATTATAAAGCATCTGGAATTCCTGTTTAAATTAGAGAGTAAATTTAGACTAGGCACCAGTGGCAGGATTCAATCTAAATGAAAACCTGTCTGTGGGTCCGGGTTCTCTAAACTGTTTCCAGCGTGGGTGACAAAGGTGAAGCCAAGTATCTAGTTCTCCCATTTTCTCACAGAAATGCCGGGTTTGTGCCAACCTTTTAAAAATAACTTTAGAGACAAAGTATCAGTCTGTATGTTACTGGAATTCACTGTGTAGCCCAGGCTGGCCTTGAACTCATGCCAACACTCCAGCCTCAGCCTCAAGTGCTGTGATGTTTCCGAAATAAGCCCCTATGCCAGGCTCACTCCCACTTCTGGAAGAAGCCCTTTTCTTTGGGCTCTAAGACCCATCCATGGTATAGCAGTGATGGAGGCCTCCATTCTGCTGGTAACCTTGCTTGAACACCGCCCCCGAGGACTCACGGCCTTACCAGTCTTCCAGGGTGGTTTTGTTTTTCAAAAGAGAAATAATATTTTTAACCTGGAAAAGTTTCAACTCGAAAGAGGAGGTTTAAAGAAATGAAAGCCATATCAAGGGAGGCTTTTGATCTGTCGCATTTCAATGTACACGTAATCACTCTTCCTGGAAAGGAGGACTCGTTCGGACTTTCAGTTTGAGCAAGTAACTGGGACGCCACCGTCCAGGCCCCTGGTAGTTCTGTTCTTTTTCTGTTGGAAATCTCGAAGTGGCTAAGTGGCTTTGTTGCTCATGTGGGAATGGAAATCAGGTCTTGGCATGAACCACTTTAATTGAAATCAGTTTGTGCACTGACTTGGCTCTAAGGGTGACGTCATTTCCTGCCTTTTCCCAATCCTCTCTGTTTTTCTAAGATAGGATGGAACTAAGCATAGCACCAAATTTTAAAGCAATTGTGCACCATTTCCTGACCCGCTTAGAATAGTATCCAAAGTTTTTACCACATTTTTCCCCCTTTGTGTGCATGTAGATAGCTTTTGAGTTAAAAAGCACTTGGCTGAGAGGTTTTAGTGGAGCCTCAAGGAACGGTTTGTGGGGTTGGTTTGCCTGACGTCTGTAGCAGGGTCTTCAAGGGGGGGGGGTGGCTATTAGCTTTTGTAGATGGAGGAAGAAATGATAAAAATATCTGAATAATTTTTCTTTAGCTGTAGAAGCATGGAGGACACAAGGCCAGCTTCTCAGCCCCAGCTGCTCATCAAGGGCCATTACTAGGTGGCCAGAGCTAAGCCGACAGAATTAAGTGCCGTTCTGGGCACACTGCGGGAGGTAATTGATAGTCATGACACTCCCTACTCTCAAGAAAAATGAGTCAGGGAAAGGAGAAACAAGGAAAATACACACATGCACACACTCATGCACGCACTCGCAGAGGGATTCACGTTCACCACTTCCCATCTGGTGTGGCGGGGAAGAGAGAACAGAAGTCACAGGAAGAGCAAGGGAATGGAGAAACATTTAAAGGGTCTTGGAGACAAGTGGGACTTGATGAGAACTTTAGTTTGGGCTCTAAGACTTAGGGACAGAAACAGAAGAGACCAGCTCAGAGGGCCTAGCCTTTGTGTGACACACAGTAGGCTTTCAGACATATTTGTCGAGGGACTGAATGATGGGTTCCCGGGTCGGGAGTGTGTTTCAGGAGCTCTGAAGGGCTCTTGGGACCTGCTGAAGAGGCCTTGAGTGCTGGGAGGCAGGGATCTTTTGGTTCAGGAGAAATGGAGCCTTCCGTGATATTCTAGTAAGAGAGAAACAGCCCTGAGAAGGAGATCCCTTTGAACTTGACTTCTCCCCTTTGTGTGTAAGAGGGTGCAGTAGGAACTGGAGTTTCAATTTTCCTTTCCTGCTGTCAGGCTATGATTGACCTCAGACTATTTGTAGCTCATTAGACAAATGGCCTCCCCCTCAACCCCCACCCCATCTCCCTCTCCACCCCGCCCCTCCCCAGAGTCAAGCAGTCACTTCCCAGTACTGCTGTTAGGACCTCTCACTGATGAGGCTGGCTGTGGGGAGGACTTTGCTGTATTCTGGGGAGAAGATTTGGCCTGCACATCCCAGGAGGACAGCCGGAGAATGAGCATCAGCATAGCCCTTGGTTCCTGCTTCTTCATAGACAGAAAGCCACTGGGTCCCTTCCTCTGGGAATTGACTCCCATACTTAGGGTAGGTCAGAAGAAGCCAAACTTCCATGGCCCAACCATGGCCTCCTAGAGTAGAGGCATGCCAACAGGACTCATGCTGTCCTTAGCCAAGCCTCATCTTCTCTAGGTAGGGTAGTTATTGCCTCTAGAGAATGGGGACCAACTATCAGTACATCCACATTCCTGAAATAGAGACAGCCTGCATGCTAGAGGGAGCATATCCTAACTGTGACTGTTACCTTCTCTCATAGGAGAGTGTATCAGCCATTTTTAAGACTGTACTTCTTGGAGTATCACTGTCTCAGGTCTAATGGTGTCCACCCATAGCCTAGAGCTTGGGAATGCATACTTCTGTAGGTGAGAATGTGACACAGAATGACTTTGAGATATCAGTGGTCTTTAGATTAAGGTTACAGTTTAAATGAATAGCTCTTTCCAAGTTCAATCCAGGGAGCACCCCTAATCTCTACCCATCAAACATTCTGGCTATTTAATGCTTCTAGTATATCCTTCCATCCTACCACCAAAATGGGACAAAAATCGGCGGAATTTTTTATCTGACTGTCCCCATGGCCAGATGCTTCAGACTCTGAATCTTTTCACAGAAATCATTGCCACCCTAACCTTGTCACGTGTCTTCACTTGGGGACTCCTTTCTTATTGGTATAAATTACAGAGATGACACTGAGCTGTAAGTTCTGCTAAATTAGGGAAGTCACTTAGCCCCATGGAAGCCAATGCCAAGAAAACAGTGCACTGTAAATGGTTTTATACATAACATAACAAGCCCTGATAATTAGGACCCTTCTGCTATCTGCATGATGTATCAATCCCAATAAATTATTTCATTCTCTTTTCAAATAGCTACAAATCATCTCTAGTGAAAGGCTGCCCACTGTGCGCTCAGATTGCAAAACTAAATCGTTTTTCTTTTTTTCCTTCAAGTACAACACTGTAACATTCGCTGCATGAATGGAGGTAGCTGCAACGAGGACCACTGTCTATGCCAGAAGGGGTACATTGGCACACACTGCGGACAACGTGAGTAGAGCTCGTGGTAGATGCTGGTCATATGTAGACCTGTGGTGCGGTAGATGCTGGTCATATATAGACCTGTGGAAATTCGAGGCCGGTGTTGAGAATTTGCTTTGAGGACAGGGACACCACATTTTTGCAGATGTCTAGGGACCCGTACAGATGAACAGATCACCCCAAACGGTGCCAGATTTCCATCCTGGATGTTGATGGGAAGTTGTGTGCTTCACTTCCTTGTATTTTGCCTTTACCACCTGCCTGGCCTCAAGCCTTAGACTTACAGGTACAGATTTCTTCTTCTTAATTACTTAATTCACAAACTACGCACTCCACCCTTGCAAATTATAGGGCTCCATAATGTTAGCTTGTCTACCAGGGCAACCATCACTGGTTTTAGAGCATTTTCCTCTCTTCAAAAAGAAAGCCCAGCGTTAGTTCCAAACATCTTTCTTTCCAAACATTTCCTTTATGTGGATTAATAATGTCTGCCTCTCTCTTGCTCCCCAAGATAGACTCTGGCACTGCAGTGTTTACTCTGTGTGTCTGGCATACTGTTTCACTCATGAGCACCTTTGATTGTGTTTGCACTCTACCAGTCCCTGCAGACTGCCTAGGATGGGAGCTCATCCTACGAGCTGTTTCATTACTGCAGGATGAACTACTCACCCTATAGAAAGTCTGGGAAGGGTCCAAGATAACAACAGTAAAACAATCCATAAATTTATCATCAAAATGCTCCCTTCTAGGCCCAAGATCTTTTATACTAAATATTTTTAGTGTTTTTGTGTAATTAATTATTCCACAGTTTTGTGTTAACTCCATTATACAAGTTTACTTAATAAATGCTTATTATTCATGTTGTTTTGAGTCTTGCTGTTTGTTGTATGTATATTTTCTATGATGAAAATGCTACCATAGATAAACCAACATTTATATAATGCCTAGTGATTACCTTCATGCTGCTATGTGGCAAGAATATTGAGTTTTGTGCAGCCCAACTTGGAGAGAAGAGAGAGTCAAGGAGGCTCAGGCAGATCTTGGGCTCTGTCCTGAGGGGTGTGTAGGAGTTCACCCCATCAGGTGATGAGTCAGTCATACACCTTTTAAGCAAAAGGTCCAGTGTGGATTGAAGTCCTGGATCTGCACATTCCATGGGGCATGGGCTAGATGGGGTGCTTTGTTAATGCTAGAGATGAAGTGTGGAGACAGGCGATGGAGGGAAATATGACAGACAGGAAGCCATGGGCCAAGTTTTTTTTTATAGGTTTACTGTTTTTTGCAAGTTAGACAGAAAAAAGTAACGATAACACAAAATAGCAGTGAACTGTGCTTGCTGAGTTACTAATGCTGCCTTACTATGCGGCAGGTATATTTCAAAGCTACATTCTTGGGGCTGGCACAAGGATTCTTTGGTAAAGGCATTTGTCACCAAGGCCTGGTGTCCTGAGTTCAGGCCCTGGGACCCACATGGTGGAAGGAAGGAATCAGCTTCCTCACACTGGCCTCTGACCTCCATATGTGTGTTGTGGTGTGTGCGCACTCACTCACTCACCCACTCACTCGCCCACTCACTTGCTCACTCACTCAGTCAATAAAATGTAACAAAAAACTCAGCCAGTACAACTGATTTAATGTAACAACTGTTTGAGTTGGAAGCTCCCCATATTGCCTCTAACGACCCGGAAGTCAGGGCTCAGATATTTCTCTGAGGATCCACAGGCAGTAATGAGCAGGGTTGGGATTGGGATTGGAGCTCCATCCAGTGGCCTCACACCACAGTCTGTGTGTTTAACACTATGATATACTAGCTTTCTAAACCTCACTTGACAAGGGTTTACAGTGAGAAAGATCATTCTGACCGGGAAAAATTGGAAGTAGGAGGGATTGTATGGTTCAGGCTTCAGAAGGAGAGGTGGGGATGGAGTCCTTGGCCTTTGGAAGGAGTCAGGAGATCTGCAGGCATCTCTCCCTGATGGACATTAGCCCAAAGCCCAGAATGGACGGATGTCAATGAACGCAACCTGGAAAACCTTTCTTAAATTTCAGCTTTGTCATCTGTAAAATGTGAGAGTTGGCCTAAGCACTTTCTCATCTTGTTTTCTCCTTCAGCCTATCTATTATGCCCTGACTGTGAGTCAAGAGGCAAAGGAGAGTGGTAGACACCGGAACCCTCTCCATTTTTATGGTGGTGAAGGGATTCGTGTCTCAATTTCTGGTACTAAGAAGTGTGTACATTCAGGCCTCCTGGGGCAGAGCAGATGCTAAGATATGATGAGATGAAGAAGTGACTTACTGGTCAAAAAAGCAAAATAAAACCTGGTGGAGAAGAAAAGGGAGAGGAAGGAGGGATATGAAGTGATGAATTTCAGAGTACTGCACTGGAAGTCAAAGCAGGAACTCAAGGCAGGAACCTGGAGACAAGAACTCAAGGCAGGGACTGAAGCAGGGCCCATGCAGGAGCACTGCTTATTGACTTGCTCCCTATGGCTTGTCCAGTCTGTTTTCTTATAGCACCCAGGACTACCTGTCCAGGGATGGCACCGCCCACAGTGAGCTGGGCCCTCCCACATCAATCACAAATCAAGAAAATTCCCTACAGAATTGCCTATAGGCAATCTGTTGGAGGTTTTTTTCTAAATTCAGGTTCCTCTTCCCAGATAACTCTAGCTTGTGTCAAGTTGACAAAAAGCTAACCAGGACAGGGAAGTATCCACCACCCATGAAGATCTTACAATGAGGTCACCCACGCAGGAGTTAGAGGAAATGGTGCAGGGGGGACCAAATCATGCTTAAGGAGGACTTAAGCTTTCGGTTCTTAGTCATGCTTTTTTTTTTTGAGGGCAAGTAGCATGTTCCTATACTAGTCTTTCAGGAACGCCTTACCAGTAGTGTCCTAGATCTTGTTGCAACTCTCCAATGTATCCTAATTATCCATTAAGACCATTAAATGCTTAAATGTCTGAATCCCAGCATTAACATTTGGTCACTTGCAGTTAATGGTGCCGTCAGCGGGGATTTGTTGCTCCTCAGGGGAACCCTCTAAACATTAAACATTAAGCACAAGCAAGAGTCCACTTGCTCACATGCAGTCTGCGTCTGGTGAAGTCGGTTAGAAGCTGCCACTTTAAATGCAGAACTGAAAGCATTTCTCAGGGCTGCTCATGATGAGACCGTAGAGTAACCCAGGTACAGAGTCACCTGTCCAGGGAGGTTCCTATAAGGATCTGCACCTGGGAATGTCTGTTCAAAGCAGACACCAGGGTCATCGTCCATGCCATGTTTGTTCCCCTTTCTGGGGGGTCCAAGTGCATCATTGTGAGACTTTCTCTCCTTATCTTGCAGCTGTCTGTGAAAGTGGCTGTCTCAATGGAGGGAGGTGTGTGGCCCCAAATCGGTGTGCGTGCACATACGGCTTTACTGGACCCCAGTGTGAAAGAGGTAAAGTGATTTTGAGTGATTTGTATAAAGGCATTCTGGTGACTAACATGTTACTGGCTTACACTGGCATTGAGTATGTAGCTACTTCCTGAAGTTGGCTGGCTGGGTGTTATGACTTCGGAATTGTCACTGAGGTCTCCAGGAGGCCAAGACAGTGGCTCTGAGTTTGTGCGCTACTCAGCAGTTCTTGGCATCAGGATGTAGTATTCCATAGTGAGCTTATATGTAAGAAGAGCGGGCACTGAGATACGAAGAGGACCACTTCCCATAAAGGTGAACTATTGAACTTCACATGACCCTGGTACACTGGAGGTATGATTCAGCTCAAGCACACATCTGGAAAGGGAAACATTTAGAATGAAAAACACACATGAAGAGCCATTGACCCTGGCAGAGTGACAGACTTGGAGTTCACAGTTCAGTGCAGGGGGCTCCTAGGGTCTGCTAAGAGCATGCTCGTGACCATGCACTCAGCACAGCCCAGGAAGTGTGGACAACCACCCTCACCTTCGCCTACAAGAAGACCAAAGCTCAGAGATGTCTAGCAATGGCCTCAAGGGCAAAGCAGTATCAGTAAGCTTTCATGTGAATCTGGATTTTCTGTTTTCAAATTTAATTCTTGTTGCTGCTATCAATTAAAAGAAAAATTCTGCCTGCTTTATCTAGCTATCAATGCAAATATGATATTTTGTTATGCAAGGATATATAATGTTCTTAATGAATGCTGGTTTTGTTAATAATTTTGTCTCTACAGCCATAACCATTTTCTCATCATTTCTAGTTTTAATTTTCCTTATTCTATTCTTGTGTTTTAAAACTGGTATTTAAAAAAAAATGTCTATGTGTTATATATTGTATGTACACGTATGTGCACACCCATATTATACATGTGGAGGCCAGAAGAGGATATTGGTGTCTCTCTCTCTCCTTCTCCACCTTATGTAATGGTGTTGGGGTCTCTCACTGAGCATGAAGCTCACTGGTTTGAATAGATTGACTGGTCAGAGCGTTCCCACCTTTTATATGGCTGCTGGAGATTTGAACTCGGTGATTCTTGCTTGCTTAACAAGTGCTCTTACCCCTAGCCCCATTCTTGCTTATTTAGTGAAGGTTAAAAGGTTTGTGCTATATAAAAAACTGCAATTGAAAATTCCCCAGGAGCTGGGCATGGTAGCACATGCCTTTAACCCTGGTGCTTAGGAGGCAGAGGTAGGTTGATCTGTGTGAGTTCAAGGCCAGAGTGGTCTACATAACAAGTTCCAGGACAGCTAGTGCTCTATAGAGAAACCCTGTCTCCAAAAATAAAAACAAAAGAAAATTCCCCAGAACTTTTCAAAATTACAATGGTCACTTTTCTCCAAAGTTGTATAAAGATCTTGTTCTAAGATAGAAGCAAAGGTTAGGCATTGTGTGGCTGACGTGTGTTACTTAAGCTCTGTAGCCGAGGGAAACAAAGAGCATTGTGGTATGTGAGAAGTTCTCTAGTTTTTTTCAACTTGTCCATGTTGACCAAAATTCAGTTATTTTCTAACAAACTGATGTTTTGATAAGCAACTCTAGGCCAGTTTCTGTGATTGCTGGATAAATGATACAGTATTTCTGTTCTTCAGGCCACCCAGAGTAATGCCATGTGACATGTAATTGGCATGACCACTGTGCTGCATCTTGGCATTCTTTTGGAGTCTTTGTTTAAGTAGTTTCCCTTTATAACTTGCACAAGTATATTATTGCCCTAGAGCTAATTACACATCCATTGGCATCCTTAGCAATAAGAGGACAACCTGTAGTAGGTAGTAGCTTTCTGTGGCCTTACTGTTTGCTTGGTGAAGATGCTGTAGATTAAAATTGTTGATGTGTGGTTTGGTGGTGAGTGAAGGGAACTCTTTAACCATTGCTCCTGAGTTTAATTTGTTCTGGAGAACTAATTAATAAAACATTCTTCTTTGAACAAAGTGATCAATAGTTGGCTGCAAAGAACAATTGGCACCCATAGTGGGAGGTGCTGATGCGGGCGACCTGAAGCAAGGCGGGTTGTTGATCCATGCCCATGACTACTTCAAAGATTTGATGTTTGCCAAAGATGAAGAAATGGCCCGAATACACGAAGTTGCTAAATTCCTAATCAAAACTTGTGTATTTCATTGTGGAGTCTCCAAGTTTGGGGTGTGTTTAAGTAGCCTTCGTTTAGGTGTGGAAGGATCTGGCTACAAAGTAGTAGTGGTTATGGCAGCATTCCAGATAGTGGTAGAAGTGGAGGTTGGGGAGAGGAAGTGGACTTTCCCTAGCTGTTACCCCCCATTGTTCTCCCAGGAACACAGCACTGACCTTCAGCGAAGGAAGGGAGACAAGGACGCCTGTTCTCTCACAGGAAGAGGGAGTGCCTTTTGGATTGCAGAATGCATTTTCCTTTCTAGACTCTTCACTACTTTGTGCTCTTCTAGAAGTCTGGATTTTAAAGAATGGGGTCCTATGTCCTTTCGTCAATTATGTGTTTGTGATTTCATGAACAGAAGATGAATGTGCAGGACCTATCACGACAGTCCATGTCAAAGCAGCGACAGCTTCTCTTTGTATTTAATGGAGTAACTGCTTAGGTTAGTTGTGTTGTTTTCACTGAGATGAGGCATTTTGTGTTTGGAAATGAACTTCTGGGAAGCCTTTATTCCAGCTGTGTTTTCTCTCTCTCTCTCCCTCACTCCCTCATTCATTCCCTCCCTCCCTCTCCCTTCTCTTCTCCCTGCCCTCCTGATAATGGCACCCACTAAATTATAATAAAACTGCAGATTGCCTTTTCCTCCACTGAATGTAGGCTCAGGAGCAACTATGGATTCAATATCCCTAGTGTGTGATGTGCAGTCAATGACCCGTGGATGTGAACTGGGTTAGTCTAACATCTTTAGGAGATCTAGAGATATACCATTGGATATGAACAATATATTCTAGAAGTAAGTTAGTGTTGGTTGCCTGTGTGTGGACAGCTTAGCATTCTTACTGGTTTTATGCCAACCTTGGCTACACAGTGAGTTCAAGACCAGCCTGTACTACCTCAGAACCTGTTTCAAAAAGCATAATAATAAAAATAACATTTACTATTATTATTAAAGATAAAAAGTTAAGTCTGGGAGGGTAGTTTCCCTCTATGTTACAGTTCAGCCACGTTTCCTTTAAATAATTTGAAAAACCAAAAGAAGGTAGCCTTGACTATTGCTTGGATGTATCTAACACAGGGTTCTGGAATTTTCTCTCATTTTGATTTAAAGGTGCAAGTCCACTCTTGGAAAGAGCAAATCTGCTCTGGTTGCTGTATATATTAATGGGCTCCCCAGGACTACACAGACTGTGAGCATGTGCACAGCCTTCTGCATCTGGATGCATTTGTTCTGACAAATCCCTCCTCCTATCTCCATGGCAGTGACAATACTGGAATCTTTACCCACACCAGAAACACTTTTAGCTGTTAGCTGCATATCAGTGAAGTGCAGGGAAAGCACTGTTGAAAAACTCACAGTGCACTTGAGGTAGCATGGTGCCGGCGCCATGACTGATGGGCCTGTCTCGTCGGGGAGCTTCATGGGTAATGCAGATGGGGAGGGCTTTATTTGTTTTTGTAATAGTGAAAAAACCACTAGGCTGCTTGATGTCTTGATGTTTGAGGAGTCCTGGTCCTCATCACTTAGCTTCTCTTAAGTTATAAAAATGGTTTTGATTAGATATACATGTTAAGCAACCAGTAAGTATTACAAAAAGTCAAGAAGGGCAATGACCATAGTGTCTAGTGAGTGGGAAAGATGAGTGCATAGTGACACAGATTTGTGACAATCACATAGCTCTGTCTAGATACACTACATTGTCCAATAAAAATTTTATCTTTTGAGCATTTTTTTGCAATGTAGCCCAGATTGGCCTTAAATTTGCAATCCTCCTGCCTCAGTACCTGCCCACTAAGTGCTGAGGTGTGCACATAACTATGCATAGTTTAAAATCTGTTTTAAATAAATCCTATGGTGTGTATTTGGGGTTTACAAAACAACGTTCCAGTATGCATAGACCCACTAACATGACTTTTATAGTGGGGTGGTTCTTTTATCTTCTCATACATTTACTTGTTGGTAATAAGAGCAACAAAAATTTACTTCTTTAACAAAAACCTTAATAGAGTATAATGCTTATTACAGGATCATTGGCAGTGGCTAGGGTTGTGGAAATGGCCTCATGTTCATGGGTAAGTGAGTGGGTAGAGAAACTGGCACACCTATGTGTAATAGAACACTAGCTACCTTTGGAATAGGAAACTACCATTTTTCACAAATGATAGGCCCAGAGAACATTGTACTATGTAGAAGAAGACATACTCAAAAAGTAAAACATTTCACAGTGCCACTTGTCATGGACACTAATACAAAATCCAAAAACCAAATATTCAAAATCAGAAAAGAGCGGAAAACAGCATTACATAGGCTGAAGGAGTCTAG